TTCTTTGAAACTGCTTGAAGAGATCTTACATTTCCTCTTATTAAACCAACCTGTTGTGTTCCTCTGATCTGATTCTTTCTTTTTCTCTCTAATCTCACAGCTGAATCACATGAACTTTGTGTTAATATTATATTATAAATGAAGCTACATTTGCAGTAAAACAGTAACATGTCATATTTTTAGTAACTTAACCTGGTTTGTGTTTCACAAAGGCAGGATTATTAAATCCAGGATCAGAAATAAAACCGGGTTTGACAAAGCTCCATCATTTCATCACATTTTATCCGTTTCACAAAGACCAAACCAGCTGAGCAGGTGCAGCAATATCTATACAAGTTTAATTCAGGTGAATCTGCATCAATACATTTCTTCATCAGATCAATGAGATCGATCATTCACTGATGGTGCAGTAGATAAATTGTGTTCACCATCCCTCACACCAAACAAAAAACATGTTGATGGAGGATGATGAGGAACTGAAGCCGATCAAACTCGATAAAAAAAACTGCTGCTACAATAGCAAACAATAACGGCTCCATTAAATATGTAATTAGCTGAAAACATACATTCTTAAGCCAATTTTAAAAAATCATAAAACTACATTTTATTTACTCAAATAAACAACTTTAAATTCATAAACAAACAGTGGAAGTTAATATAACGAGTGAATCTGGCAGCAGATTAATTCATGTTACTCTTTTCTGATCCACAACTTATTTATACAGAACAAAAATGAAAAACAGATTATAAATAAGAACATTTGCAGTTTCTGGGAAGTATGGGGTTAAAATGTTGAAAACAATGTGCAAATAATTTTACTAATAACTTAGAAAATCCTTCATTAGTTTTACCTACAGTGAACTTCCTGTTTGAGTTGTGATGCTTTTGTTTTGAAGGGACAATTTTTTGTTTACCTGTCAGTGTAAAAGCAGCTTAATGACAATCAAAAAGACAAAATATTAAATATAATGGAGCTTATAAGATTGTAGCCACCTGGATGAAGACAGAAGGTTTATTAATAATGTAAATATGTAATTGTTTTAAATATTGTGTTTAATTCTGCATTATTTTAATTATATAACAAAACTTAAGTTAATTTCCATTGTACATATTATTTTAAGTTATATGAAAATTCATCAGTAAAGTTTGTTATAACTAATTTGGCTGGACTTGATTACAAAACCTGAGTTTCTTTATGACCCATTTCTCTAATCCCTAAAAACTGCAACGGTCTATTAAAGGCCGTTATGTCAAACTTAGAACAGAGAAACCCAAAGAACAGGAAGATATCCACACTGATGCTTTTAAAATTGATAATATATTTTAACATACAAAAATATTAATGGAGCCGAGTTACAATTTCATCTTCATCCATCCAAAGAGAAAAACATCAGATACAAAATGACAGACAGGAGGAAATAAACAGGATGGAAACCATTCAGGTCAAAGGTCATCATGATCCAGTCAGAGTCTCTTTAGACTCAAACTGCTGCAGCTTCTGAGGATCAGCAGGAAACGGAGACAATTCTCTTCTTTACAGAGATCACCATCTCCTCCACCTGCAGAGAGAAGAAAGAATCAGAGATCAGATCAGTGAGTTTCCAGCTTCTCTCCAGCAGCAGCAGTCAGTGACGCAGCACATCCAGTAGAAAGAGCAGCAGGGCCTTCAGTCGAGTTCAGAGCAGCTTCCTCTCTGCTCTCATCTTAACGTGTTGCAGTGAACACACTGAGCTCCAAGCTCACACACCAACACACACTTTCAGCATCCAGTCTGCTTCCTCTGCAGGTTCCACTCAAGTCCACAGTGGAAACAAACTGCTGAGAGCCTGAAGGTTCACTGCTGCTCCAACACTGGAGGGATGGATTTGCTGCTGCTGCATTTAGACACAAACTGCTGCTGATGAACAAACATCTGCTGCTGGAAATCAGCTGACTGTTCAGCGTGGAGGCTGTCTGTCCCTGAACACATCTGGATGAGACTGAGGACGGGAGGACACATGTCCACATGTGAGGACTGGACTGGAGCAGGAAGAGCAGCTGCTGACTAAATGAATGATGGTTTGTGAAACCAGAGTTTCCAGTGGTTTCCAGGCTGCAGTCAGACTGATCTCAGAGCTGTGACCAACATCAACCTGATCAGCTGTTTCCTGTTGAACTGAGAGAACAAACAGATCTGAGATCAGATCTGCTGCTGCCACAGTTTGATGAATGAGGACCACTGTCTCTAGACATGCTGGACGGCTGGACGCTGGAGTCCAGCTGGACGTCCTGGAGACATGGACACAGCAACAACACTCATCTTCACACCAACACAAACACAGGAACACAGCAAGCTGCTGCTGCTGCTCTGATTGGCTGATTGCTGTCTCTGTGTCCAATCAGGAAGCCTGAACCACTGAGAAGCTGCAGCTTTACTGGGAACACTGGAGCTTTGATGGGAACTGGTTTAGTTCAACATGCTGACAGCAGCTGGACTCACTGATAACATTTACTTACTGAACATCCTTTACAAAATGTTTCAGCTGCTGAACGTCAGATTCTTTCAGGTTGTTGTCGCTCAGGTCCAGTTCAGTCAGATGTTGGTTGGACTTCAGAGCTGAGGCCAGAGAAGAACAGCTGATCTCTGACAACCTGCAGCTCATCAATCTGAATAAAGAATAAAAGATGTGAGCTGAAGCAACAGGATGCAGGTTAAAACTGAAATATGAACAAATTAATGATAAAAATGTAGAAAATTAATTTGACTGAATGTAAAAGAAACATGATGAACTGATGTTTAATATCTGATCCAGTAAAACTGGTTTATAGAGTCCAAACCAGCAGAACCAGAACATGTTATTATGACGTGTTGTTAGAATATTTCAGTCGGGCCTTCAGTGGTTCTGGTCAGGAATTAAAATGGACTTTAAGAACCAAAGTGAGACATCAGAGCTGTTAATGAAGCTGCAGTGATTTAATGAAGAAGCTCATTTCCACAGTGACAGAAACCTGCTATTGAGAGGAACTGACTGATTTATCTGGAGGATCAACAGCTGCAATAATTACACTTCACTCATTCATAAACACATGAACACATGAGTGGAAACTGAACTGACTGATTTATCTAAGGATCAACAGCTGCAATAATTACACTTCACTCATTCATAAACACATGAACACATGAGTGGAAACTGAACTGACTGATTTATCTAAGGATCAACAGCTGCAATAATTACACTTCACTCATTCAT